TAAACTTTTACAAGAATCAGATAAATCATGAAATATAAAATGAATTTATTTTTTTATAGGTTGTCAGCATTTCTAGTCTTTTTTGTTATCAATAACATTCGATGCGGGTATATGAAGATGGAAGTCGATCAACGGTGTATTAGTTATTTGTACATTTCTCACAGCTAAAACATCCACCTCAGAGAATGAAACTCCAGCATAATCTTCCTGAGTCTACGGATATTCACTATGAAATGTCATCAAAGTAACAATTATCATCAGTATATCTTTCACTTAAATACATTTATATTTTCATAAAATAAACCTCATATTTCCAAAAGTTTAACTGCATTAAAAATGAAAATGAATTGTAATCAGTTTATTGTTGTTTTTGCTAACATTTAAATCGCGATTATCTTTTAATTGTCCAAAAATTCCAGTTTTGTAATATATATATCTGATTAGTTTGATGATTCTGTTCATAAATGTTACACTTGGTGGTTATTCAATTATATTTCGATATATATTCATGTAATCTATATTCATATAACCTTTTAATAAGCATATATAAAATTTCAATTTGGAAAGTAGGATACATATTAAATTACTTGTAATCTGATCTTTCAGGTAATTTTTTTCTTTATGATTTCTTCATACATTTCATTCAATTCGTTAAATATAATCTTTCTTTGAATATCACATTGACAGTAAGTAAGATAACAGATATTTATTTATTAAAATTCATTTGTTTAAATTTCTTGCTAATAGGAATCTAATTATTAACTTATGAAAAATAAATGTTAATTCAAGTGAACATGTTCAATAAGTCATGACAGATGAACTGCATCTATCTTATTTCATGATATTTATATTCGAAAGTCATTGCATTTTTAAATGATGTGGTGTATTATTTTATGAGAATTAGCACAGTTCAAAGTAAAATCTGACCTTGATAGTAGATGTTAATTATGATGATAAATGAGTGACCTGAAGATCTGTTTTTTAAAAATTATTTTCAACTATGTTTACTACTACATTGTTAATTAGCTCTTACAAAGGTTGTTAGTTTCTGAAAATAAAATACTATTATTTGCTGATCTTGCTGTCTTCTGACACTTATCCGTTTTTCGAGATATTATCATATCGATTGTTTTGTGAAAATATATCATTGAATTATAGTTTATATTCATATGAATAATTTTTCTGTAGTTTAATCAGATAACTGATTTCAACAACTAGTTACTTGAACGTCCATTCCAACTGACGATTAAATGACATTAATTCACTAGTAGAAACTTATAAGCAAAATTTGAGTGTTTGGTGCAGTTTTGAAGCAAATGATTTATGATAGAATAAAATGTACATAAAGTTTGATTGCTTGTCCTAAAAGATTATTATTATTATTATTATTATTGTTAATAATGCTTCATTTGACTTCATATATATATATATATATATATATATATATATATATATTTCTTCACGAATACAATATCAGCACCTAGTCATGTGTTACATGAATCTTATATAGAACATATAATAAAATATTTACACTGTGATTTAACTGCAGTCACGGTCGACTAACCTAATAATGGACAAATTACATACATATATGTAATACACACAACAACTACACAACAAAAATTTTACGTTAAGTTTCTTAACAATCTTTGAAGATTTCATATTAAATAATGAAATAAAGTTGATCTTTAAGATTTATTGATTATAATAAGTTGTGGTTTACTAGTTGCTAGATTTATCATCAAACTAATTAAACTACTCACACTATAGAAAAAGAACGTACCTGCCAAATATTTTGTGATAGCTGTTTAGTTTTTAAATAAACTGAATAAACGTTTCCTCTACGTAATAAAAACCCCATGAAACATTGCAATATATATATATATATATATATATATATGTATATATATATAACAAAGACAGATCTATAGACGTTGGTTAAAATAACCTAAAATTCCATAAATAAAAGAGGAATTCATAAACTATGGAAAAAAACGTGACTTAAGATGGACATCTAACGTATGATATAAACTCAGCAAGATAATTTCGAAAAAGAGAAAAACGTCACTGCTGGAATTTATTCACATTTTTATCTTTGGATATCGAAAAAAAACATTATTTGAAAGTTACATGGAAAGTATTTGTTTTGTTAAGATTTATATTGTTATATCTATAAACATAACCTTCTTCACATTTCTCTAAAGGTTTTAAGTTTTTAAGAGAACATATATATATATATATATACAGAGAGAAAAACCATTAAACTTCATCTGAAACAATCGTTAACTTCACAAATGATTGTTCAACGATTGAAATAAACATTATGAATCATTACATACATCATACTTATCATCTATTCATCTATACTTAATAGTTATTGTTCACAGTTTTGCCTACTTTTCAGTTACATCTTTTTTTCTTTTGCTAAATTTACACTTGAACTAAATATATTGACAAACTTATGAACTGTGAATTCTAGGTGTTCAACATGACTAAACAGTTTAGAATGGATAAAACAAATCACGTTTTGTTTGCTAAATTAAGTATCACTGTTATTATTATTATTATTATCGTTATTACTTTATTTTGATACTTATTTTTAATAGCTGACTACAAAACGTGTTTATTGTACAATAGAAGAAATTGGTTAACTTGTTTATTTCTTAAAAATAATTCTTAGATTTTTAAGTCATTGCTTAGTTTTACTATTCCTTTTGGAATGATTCGTTTTTACCACTTTAGCATCCTAACAAAGTAAATATGTGTTTACTTTTTTATTTATTTAAAAAAAAAGTCAGAAGAAATAAAATTGTGTAATTGTCGCTCTCTTTCTCTTTCTCTCAAAGTTCATAGTCATTAAAATTAGTTCAAGATTCAAGAAACTCTATCAGCTAATAAGAATGTTATTAGGTTATTTGAAAAGCAATTAGTGATCCGTTTGAAAAAGAACAACAAAACAATATTTTATTTTTAGCTAGAAGATTTTTTGAACATTGAATTTGTTTCCACTTAAGACTACATGATGAAAATTTCGGTCAACTAACAAAAAAAATATTATGGTTAGTTGTATAGGAAATGTATTTATCGTACAGATCCACAGTCAGCATTCAATAAGTTACGAAGTTGAAATTAGATTCTCAACTATGAATATTATTTACCACATATAAAAAGAATCTTTAGATATGAACAGTGAATAACAGACAAGTGAGAAAATATATTTCTATGTTAAGATTTTATTCATAATAGTGTTGAGTTACCTTTTCTTTAAAAAAAAATTAATATCATGAAATCATCATCGATATAATTTTTCTCTATAAATAAAGATAAACTATTATCAGTTCAGATTATTTTGAAACGTACAAGAAAATAGGTTGTTACAATGTTCCTATAAAATGAATTTCATCATCATTCTATCTATAGTACTGATATACATGACGATGAATATAACTTGTGTATTTTAATACACCATATAATTATTCTGAATGAATTGGTAATTTTGCAAATAATTTGTATACGTTTAACACATTAAGACACTGTTTGATCTATCTCTCTATGTTGTTTGTTTAAAACATAACTCTATCTTCACTAGATAGAAGCTTACTGAAATTCAGATAAAAAACACTAAAACTATATGCACTCTATCTTTTTGTTCACAGAAAAAGTACATCCAAACTTAGAAGTGGCAAATAAAATTAGATTTAAAAAATTACTCATCTTCATTGAACATTATTGTATTTATTTACTTATTGAACTGTTTACATAATTATTATGAATAAATTAAAAATTATCATCACCTTTATATGAGCGATTTAATGTAGAGTTACTGAATATTCAACATAGACTTATTGGAATTAACTCCATTTCAATGTGAACCTGAACATGCTTGACTTACGAATTAAATATTCAGTAATTACTGACATATGAAGCTGTAATTTATAAATATGAATTCACCAGATAATTTTATATCTGTATTTGATAATTTATTGTAATTTGATATTTAGAATTCACTTCAACTTTAAAATGAAATCAAAGTAAAGGATGCAAAATATATTACCATTGTTAATAATTTGAAAAAGTCAACTGATCAACTCGTGATGGTGTCAATGCATTTTGAATAGATGCTTGAGGATTAATGTCCAGTATGTCTCAATGATGAGTAAGTGTATTTACCATTCAAACCTAGTAAGCAGACTCCCCCTAAATCAACATGAAGCGCGCCAAATCAATAATTCGCATGACAATCAACTTTTGTTAAGCATGGAGTAGTATTTATATCTATGAGTTGGTATTAGCAACAGTAAACATTGGATTCATGTTTTCTTAGGAATAATCATATCGATATCAACACTTTTTCTTTCAACAAGTTACATTATCTCCACAATTTTGTAATAATCATATATAATGGGTGGATTTTACATACCTTGAGTGACCTTACAAAATTATATGTTTGTCAGTATAATGACAAAATAGAATTTTAAACTTATCGAATATAATTCATTTGTAAGAGCTTTACGAATCTTCCAATTGTTGATTTTAAGGATAGCAATCGACCGCCTTCATAAGCAGATTACCTAAATACTGTCATTAGGTTATAAGTGTTTTAAACAAAGTTGAATAGTGGTTATCATCAAAACACAAGAAGCACGTTGTGTCCTACTCTTCAGCTAAAAATACTAGTGTGGAGATAAATGGGGCTGAAAAGTCTAAAATAAGTAGAAATGAACTTCTTCGATTCCGTTCACAGCCACTGTCTAACTAAACAGAAAACTCGTTGCATGTCGTTAGAATTTATGTTTTATGCCTATGGATCACAGCGAAACAGCCTTACTAGTATTCATCCTGAGGAATGCTTGAGTGATTCAATTAAGATAACTTAATTTGCCATGAAAAGCATATCATGCCCATCAATTACTTTACCATCATAACAATTTGTTTGTTTATTATGATTGGTAAATGAAAATAAGTTTTGATTGGTTAATTCTATTGTTTAAAGTGGAAAGAAATAATTCAAATAGTAGTTTTCACGTTGAATATTTGTGGGAATCTATTTAAAATATGTTGTATAATAATTATTATTTTGAACAAATGTAACCGAGAACAAGGATATTATTATTTCAGTAAAATATGAATAATAGTTTACAGTATAATGAACTATTCACAAACTATACATTGGGTGTAGAGATAGAATCATCTAATACAGTGATGACTCTGATTGTTGCTATTGTTTATCCACTTATAATTGTATTTAGCACAGTTGGCAATAGTATTGTTATATTAACTGTAACACGAAGCACTGCAATGCGAACAATAACCAATTTGTTCATTTCTAATTTAGCAGCATCAGATTTATTGATGAGTTTTGTTGCGGCGCCTGTTACACCGATTGTATTTCATATGAAAAATTGGAAATTACCTACATTTCTTTGTAAATTATTACCTGTTACAATGGGTGTTAGTGTGTATGTTTCAACGCTTACTTCAACCGCTATAGCTGCTGATCGATATTTAGTCATTGTACATCCATTTAGAACACGTATGTCACAAAGTATATGTGGACTAATCATAGCCGGCGTATGGCTTATTTCTGTTCTAATATCATTACCACTGGGAATTTATACAAAAATTGGAATTGACCCAAGAAACAATGAACCATCGTGTATGGAATCATGGCCACATTCACTATCTAGACCAGTAAGTAAGAAATCTTGAAACTTTATCATTTATTATATTTTGCTATAAATTCGATTGTTTGAATTTATTGGATTGAAATATGAACAAAATATTCCTATGTATTTAGTTATCAGATTTGTGTATATTCAGTAACTAGACCAATAAAATAATTGTTTCATGACACGTGAAACCGTATTCACTAACATTCAATTAAATAACTCACTATAAAAATTACATGGTGATATTTTTAGAATTAATTCAATAAATCTATGATATATCTATCTAGAATAAAACTCAACCATTAAAATGTTGCATAAATTTCTGAATAAAATTCCTAAAACCTCAAAAACTCACCACCTTTGATGTTTATAATGTCGCGGAAACTGAAAGTCATACTGGGATTTTAATCTAGCTAATACTCTCAGTCAGAGTCAGTCTGATGCAACGTAGAACTTCGTACGTAAGTACATCAGTTCATATTGACATACCACATCAGCACAGAGATGTAATTGTCAATTCAAAGATGTAGTAAAGGTATTAGGTGTATTCGAAGAGGTTAGGATTAGAAGATATTATTCAAGAAGTATAATTCAGTTAGATGGGTTCAGAAAAGCAAAAGTAGGGGTGTTGACAAATCCAGAAGATAAGAATTTTAGAGAACGCAAAGAATGAATGCACCGGCGCCACGGCAAACGATTTTGAGCCATGTCATTCAAGGTCTCTAACCATCGATTATTATCATCTCGCGGACCCCAACAAGGAAGCCTACATCTACCAACATGACTCAGTCCATTTGTCTGTGACTTCATGGATTTCTGCCATGTTTTGGTCTGGCTGCCCCTAGCTTTCTTCCAACCTACTCCTATACCACGAAACAAAGCTCGTCGGGGCAGTCGGTGGTGAGGCATTCGTAGTACATTTCCCAACCACCTCAACTGATGAAGTTTCATTACTTCGTCTATTGACGTGCCATCCTTACCTAGTACTCGCTTCCTAACGACAGCATTGCTTACTCAGGTATCCCATGATACACGAGCAGTGCTTCTAAGACATCTATAATCGAATGCTAGCAACCAACGAATATCTTCTACTCTTACCGGCCATGTTTCGCATCCGTATAGTAGTACGGAGCAAACTGCTGAACAGTACACTCGTCCTTTGGTCAGCAAACGGATATCTCGCCTACGCCATAAGTGACACAGGTTGGCAAAAGCCAGTCGAGCCTTCTGTATCCGAGCTGAGATCTCTTCAGTCACCAGGCCGTTAGCACTGGTGAAACTCCCCAGATAAGCAAAGCGGTCGACACACTCAAGTACTTGGCTCCCTATCAATAGTTCAGGTGCCGATGCGACCCACTCTTCAAGCAACATTTTGCATTTCGAGGGTGAGAACCGCATCCCAAACATGCTTGCTTTGTTGCTCAGGGTAGCTGGAAGACTCTGCATTTTGTCAGCGTCTTCACCAAGTAGGACTATGTCATCGACATATTCTAGGTCAGTAAGCGATTTTCCTGGTAGACGGTCGACTCCTGAAAAGTCGGACGAGGATGAGGTTATTTCTACGTGCATGTCTATGATAAAATTAAACAAGAATGGAGAGATTGGACATCCCTGACGGACACCACTTGAAGTAGAGAATTCCAATGACAGTTCACCATATGCTCTCACTCGACCAGTGGTGTTAGAGCTAAGAACTTGCATAAAGTCACTGTACTTCTTTGGTACACCTTTCAATGACAGACTCTGCCACAAAACCTCACGATCATCAGAGTCGAATGCCGCCTTAAGGTCCAACAAGACGACTATTGGAGGACACCTAAATGTATGTCTGTGTTCCAGGACCTGTCGTAGAGTAAAAATATGGTCTATACAGCCACAACCAGATGGAAAACTCGCCTGGTTTTCTCTAGTCTGCTCTTCTCGAGCTCTAGTTAGACGTCTAAGTATAATTTAGGCTAACAATTTAGAAACTAGTTAGACTGATTCCCCTGTGATTGTCACAAGAGGACTTTTGTCCTTTCTTATAAATTGGGACAATCAGTGAGTGAAACCAGTCAGGTGGGATTATGTCTAGTTCCCAGATTCTACCTAAGATTTCAGCCAATCTAAATGCTAAAACTGATCTTGCAAGCTGTTACGGGTATGAAGGCGGTTATCGATTCCCGACTGCCCACACCGTGGAAGGTTGTTTCTTGAGGGACATGAAAAGGAAGATAGATTAGTGTTTGCCTTAGAGACCTGGTAGCGTGACCGCAGAGACCAACCGACAACTGCTTGAGGACGGTCACGCACGGTCTTTTGATGAAAGGTTTTTAGAGTATTAGCTCCACTCATAAAAGCCCTTATTGGTCAGCTTTTACCGCCGCAGTCGGAAATCCGTGATGTAGGTGAGGTGTGACATTTTCAAGGTCGACCATTCCTAACCCTTTCTTCCTTGTGAGAAGGCAGCATCGCTGCAACTGCTGGTTGTCCAAGGGCAACACCTTACTGCTCCCACACACCTCTGCAGTCAGCAGTACGACTTCGCCCTCAGACCTTGAGTAGCTGCTTTTAGTCTCATCGTTCTCCAATCGACCTGCATGGCATGGTAGAACCTTCAGGAACATATGTTCCAACCAATATAGCTCAGTTGGGTCATCACGATAGTCAAGCCCGATCACCACGTAAATGTAGAAGCTACGGTCGGGTATCTGGTATGAACACTATATGCTATGAAACTGAATCGGTCAATTAGTACTGAACTTTCATGTATAAAATAATCATCAATTGGCTATTTCCATGGGCATAAATTTTAATGCAAAGTGTTCACAATAATTATTCCTGAATATTCGATACAACCATCACACATTTTTCCTCTTATTGTTATATGAAGAAAATAAATAAATAAAATAAATATTATTCTCTTCAAATATGATGAATCGACAGTATGACTTAGTAGGCAATATTCATTCTATGAATAATTCTTCTGAATATGATATTATGATATGCCAGTTAATGGAAAAAACTTGCGGATAATAATAAACTAGTAACAAAATTTGATTGACAGAATCAATTATTCATATTTCTAATTTAGTAATTAAAAAAATAAGAACAACAATGCGCACTAAGTGATATAACGTTTCACGTTATTTTGAATATAAATGAGATTAATAATTTAACTGCTTAAGCAGATATGCGTAGTCTGAAAAGCATAGTTAGTAATTTTAGGGGAAAGAGTGATTGTCAAACTCTGAGAGCATTATTGATTGCCCAGTTTTTCGTGTTGCATTATAGACTCTGAATTTAACACTGTTTTGGTTTGCAGTAAATCTTTTCATGAACAACAATGAGTTTGAGTCATTATGGGTTTCAGTTCACAGCATTCCTTGGTCTCTATTACCATAGTTTGTCATTATTAATTAACAAAAGCTTACCTAATTACTTACTTACGCCTGTTACTCCTAGGTGGCGGACCAGAGAATGAATACTTCTGGTTAGCATTCATTTAGCGAGTTGGATTTCTACAGGTTAGGGTTTCTAACTCCATGCCCAACCCTCCTCCCTTATCCCGGCTTGAGAACAGCAGTAGCCCCAGATGGAGCTAATCAAAAAAGCAGAGGACATTAAAATAATTCACTCAGCAAAATGCGAAGAAATAACGATAAATTATAGTACACATATAGTTAGTTATAAATATATGTGTCACTCTTTAAACCAAAATTTTGAAATTGAAATTACTTATTAATGATGCATAAGAAGCCCCCTCCGGTGAGTGGGAACATCAGTTAAAACCTGGTAGCACTAGATATCAGTTTGTCTTCGGTACTGAACTCCTTAGGTGTCAGCAAGCACAATCTTGCGTCCAGGAATCGAACCCAAGATCTTTCGCCTCGTGTGTCACTACCTAATCTTCAAACCATCGGGTTGACATTCGATGGTATTAATGTTTAGCTTTGACCAAACTGCGATATCGCGCAACCCTCATTCGTCGCCTTAGATGGATACCTGTCTTACATCCGACAAGAACTGACCACTACTGGTCACTGCTTTTTATAATACAAATAAACAAAGTTGTTTGCTTTAACCAACATTCACTTTTAAATTTAAATTTTGAAGCCAAAATACACTATAACTTTCTTACTGATGAGGAAGTGAATACATTTCATCGTACAGTGTTGTCTAAGTGTTCAATTTTATATGACTATTTTTTTATAAAAAGCTCCTTTAAAAACCGCAGAAGATTTAATTCAAGAGAATTTAAGGAGAACCGCTACTGAATCAGAAATATATCAATTTTGTAAACGGGAATTTCAAAAAATAAGGGAAATGAATGCAAGCATATCATAAATGTAGGTGCTTACTGATTATTAACGAGCCGTACCTTTTCCATGAACATTAGAATAAAATAGTAGCTGACTATACAGAGAAAACATTAGACTATAAAGGAGTATACTTTGAGATTTACTGTAAAATATAATAGAAATATCACATTAATTAGCTCATGCATAAAACACACTAATTGTTTTAAGTGATGACAGCCTTTTTAATTATGTACTGATAAAACTTTACATAACCTAATCGAAATTATAAGTTTGTAATCATCGATTTACAGAGGAAAGCAAATTACTAAATGAATGATACTCTGTGCCTTTTTTAATGGGAGGCTCTTTGAAGCACTTAATACTGCTGGAGACTACTTTCATTTTTCAGATAGACAGAAATTTTAAAACTTGTAACAATCCATGCACAGTTACTGAATTCACAACTCAATAAAATACTGACTTCCTCTTTCAAGGAGATTCGATTTCAATAAATGTGGTTAGAGGTCATGTTTCTGAACGTAAACAATTTTCATATCAATTGTTTAGAAATAATGTTGTTAGTTGAAAAATTTTAATATTGACTCAGTAATTTGTGCACAGAGCCTCAAAGGTTTGAAGTAGGACAGGCAGATAGCTCCGTGATCTTTAATTCTCAAAGAGTTTTTAACAAACTATACATCAATCGTTAAAATCCTAGTTTTGTTTCCTTGTTTATCTAAGC